AAAATTATAATCCATATTTGCAACTTCAAGAAAGATTCAAGGACGTCAAAAAAAAAAAAAAAAAAAAAAAAAGACAGAGCAAAAGACAGAACAAAAGACGAAGCCAATACGTCAGAAAAAGAATGGTTATTTGATACGTCAAAAGAGAATGAAAAATATTCAAACGTCAAAAAAGACGAAGAAAATATGGCAGAGATCATTAAAAGCTTAAAGTTATTTTAAACTTTCTTTTACTATTGCTATTACATTATTATTATCGATCTAATTGATGATGAGATGATGATTATATTGCCTCAGGTGACAACAGAGGCACCTCAAGTAATCGATCGACAGGTTATGCATATCATATGACGATCGACATCTGAGGTGCCTCAGTTATCACCTGAGGCAAGAATCGATCTGAGGCATAACATATATATACCTTTCATTTGCACGTCAAGCAACGTCTAAAGCTTCATATAAAGCATTTTGGCCATTACGGCGTTGAGACCGGAAAGTACTGTATCGACGAGGCATTTTGATTTTCTTTATTTTTATTATTCTATTATTTTATAATTATTAGTATTATTATTATTATTATTATAAATAAATTATTATTATTATATCATTATTTTTCCTCTTACATTATTTTAGTTTCTATTTTTTCTTTTTCTTTCTTCAACTTTTTTTTACGAACATTATTATTTTACTATTTATATCTTTATTTATATTACCCCTATTACACAAACCTTAATTTTTATCTATATTAGTAATTTGAACATTCACAAACAGTGTGATTAAAAATTTTTATAACTTAACAATTGTAGCAGAGTGGTAATGATCTGCAACTGTTGCCAGCAGTCGTAGATTCAATATCCGCTGACGGACTGTGAACTCTGCCGACGGGTCATGATTACAGCGTCTGCACTATAATAATTCTCTTATAATTTAGTATAATATAGTCTTTTATTACTACAAATTTTTGTACTATAGATAAACAAAATTTTGAATATCTGTTTACAAAAATGTAACTGTAAAACTTTATTATATTTATATAGATTTTCTTTTTGTTTACTTTTTTTTTATTATTACTTTTTCTCTCTCTCTTCTTTTTTTTGTGATATAATAACAACTGTAGTAGATATGGTTTTACAAGAATTGGCTGAAGTAGAGCCAGCTAATGTCAATGTAGAAGCTCCTCCCTATCATCAGTCTGATTATATCAGAAGAAAAGTTAGAGCTACTTACCAAAGATTAATAAAACAGCCCGACAAAGAAATGATGAGACTAACTGGTTTAGAACCTTGGTCTATGCCTATTATTTAGGAGAGTTGCTGGAAACCAGACCAAGAACTCCAGCACAATGAACTGTGCTAACAAATTTTCTAACAAAACACTACGAATTAGCTGCCGTTCAAATATATAAGCTATTTTCACCCATGGTATAGAGTCTATTTACCAGACCAAGTTTCTGACTCTAATACATATAAGAAGGCTTTGAGTTACCGACCTTGCTCTTCTCTATTAAATTTTCGTGGAACTCAAAAATAAGCCTGGGAGAATGTTGACATTAGAAAAGAAGCTATTTGAAGTATAGCTCTTCATCCATCAATCCAATCAAGATAAAACTATTACCATTGGATTCAGCTCATCGATACAAACCTAAAGGTGGTGAGATCATCAAAATCCAATCACAGGAAGCCAAGATATCATTAAAAATGTAATTTGATCAAGTGATTTATATGTAAATCACATGTGTCACAATCTGATTGGCTGATGATTTACTGCGCGAAATGTTATACATATAACATATCTATTCTCTATCATT